TCGAGCATCGAGAGCGCGTAGAAGCTCAGGTTCGAGATGCTGTAGGGCGTTGCCAGGCACACGAGCGCGTAGAGTTCGCCTGTTGTGGTAAGTGGCTTTCCTGGGTCCATGTTGAGAAGTGGGCCATGGGTCTCCGGTACTGCAGTCAATTTCAATTATTAAACTATGTATGGTGGCTTGGTTTTTGTATAGGCATGTGGCATATTTCAATTCCGAAGACGCCAATGTTGAAGAGATTCAAATGGTGGAATGGTGGTGCAAATCCAACACGGCCCGGTCCTCCGCCGGTGCCGATTGAGGACGATGGGACGGCCCTCCGAACGCTCCAGCCACTGAAGTGCCAAGGAACTAGGCACGAGAACCACTCTGCCACCACTCGGCAGCCAAAATCACCGACCCCTTTGCTGCACTCCTCGCGTTTTTATGCGTCATTAGAGCTGATCTTGCAGCAGCCTCGTCGTTTCGGTGATTTGCTGCTGCTTGGCATTGCTGCGGAGCACGGCGTTGGCGGCTTCGTCTTCCCAATTGGTCGTGGTGGCGCCATAAAACGCCACAAATGTCGTGACACCGTACCCGAGCGACATGCCCATCCACACGCCCAGGAGGCCGATGTGCCAATAGATTCCGACGACGTATGCTGTCGGCACGCCAATAACCCATGCCCCACTGAAAAAGGCCACTACGATGACACAAAGGATACATCAGTGCTGCTGCCAAGCTCGAGACGTAGGGTGGTCGTACCGAGAATGGGCAAAGCTCGAGCTTGCGCCACCAAAATCGCCTGAATCGCCACAGAAATCGTCAAGCGTTGGTGGCTCCATGTCCACGACGAGCTTACCATGGACGAGTAGAACAGGGACAAGAGGATGTAGCCCGACGCCGCCAACGTGCAAATGCCCGTCATGGACGTCCACACTCGAGGATCACTCGAGTACAAATGACCCACGACGTTCCGATTCAGCATGAGCACCGTTGCAATGGCGACCGAGAGGCAGCAAATGCATATCGTGAGTACGCGGGCCACTTGTTTCGCCTTCACCGGTTCATTGGCTCCCAAGTACATGCCGATGCGGATGACGCCCGCTGACCCGAGGCCGTAAATGGGACTCGTCAAGAAGAAGACCAGCATAATCATCGAGTTGTGCGAGTCAAGTGCCACCTGCACATACGTTGGCCGTCTGTGAAGTTCTAAGTAGATGCTGTGGCCGTCTACGTACTTCACCGACAGCAGACGCCAACAAAGCCATCGTTTGTAGCTGTGAGTTCTCGAACACTTGACCGAGCGCCAGCGGCAGTCCAACGCGAATCTGGGGAAGGATGTACTTGGTCTGGAAGAACTCGGCGCTCCACACCCACGACCGCACGTGGAACTGACGATACCACATCATGTACAGCACAAACGCACC